GAACCTTTCTTGATTAATGTCTACAATGCTTCCTGAGACCAATGTAACAAAATTCACATACAGTGGGGTTTTTTTGTCAGGTACATCATAAGAATTAATGTTTGTTGCTTTTAGGACTTTAGCTAGTAAGCTACACTGTAAAGTGCATTTACATTCATGGCAAGAAATTAACATCTGTTAAGAAAAGTTTCAATACTACTCAAAAGAGGAGGTTAGAACATCTTCCCTAGTAGAAGATGCCTCATATTATACCAGTTCTAGAGAAAAAAGACAGAGGAGGTGACTGGACTCAGGCAGGCAAATGACAGATTGGGACGGAATTGGAAGAGGAGGGTTTGACCAATGGAAAGGGGATGTTTTGTAGTTGGCCCTGACATGGGATAAAAGGGGGATGCTGCTCTGAGCATCTCATTTTGACTTGTTTTGAATGTTTTAACACATTCTGAATATGGGAGAGTAGTGTCTTGCTTTCTCTCTTTTCGTTATTCTTCGAATCTTGCCATAGCAGTAATTAAACTGAACTTTCATGGAAAGGAAAAATGCCACAACACACATCAAACATCACAGCTAACGTTTCACCTAGTATACAGATAGTCACAGTACTATGAAGTATAGGAAGTCACACTGCTAGATTGCAGTTTAGTTTTGCAAATTGGCCCAAATGCATGTTCATTCATTCATTCATGCATTCACTCCTAACGCTACTTATCCAATACATTCTTAGATAACAAAGACTGCGAGTCCCAAAATGACACTGAGGGTGCGGGCTCCTTAGCTCTGTGTAGCGATGTGCAATCTAGCACATGTGGTCAATGCGAAGGATGTGTGGTTGTTGCTCCTGGTAATATATACCTGCTGAGTGCATTTTCTTCAGAGTGAATTCTAGAGGAATATATGGAAAACAAATAACAACTCTTAGTGGGTTTTAAATTAGCGACCTTCTAGAGCTGAGCTTAACTCACAGACCAACAGTTTCCAAGTTCAGAATGCTGCTAATTAATCAAAGCTCTTGTCATAAAGCAATGTGACATTAAATTAGCATTAGATGTAGACGCTAAATTATTTTTTCCCATGCTGAACACCATTCAAATGTTATCAGTAAGCAAGATAATATTAAATTATTAGAATAAGTTTCAGCTCTTTCTGCCTGCCCCTTTTACCTCTTTAACAGGTGTCTGAAGATTTTTTTTGCTCAAAGAAATGATCAGGCTTTTCTGAAATTGTTTTAATGGATGCTGACTTTAAAAGGATAGTAAAACATTTGTTCATCTGCCATCTCTGACTTATTCCATTATCTTTGCCTTGTCTGCTGAAATCAATAAGAAATTGCTTAGAAACTTCAGTGTCAGTTGTGTTGAACTCAAAGACAATTTTTGGTATCTGTACATTTCCTTAGGAATGACAGGAAAATGTAATCTTGCTCTGCAGCTGTGGACAGGTATCTTCTGATCTACCCATGAATCACTGAACCTTGACTAGCTCTTGTTCTGGAGGGATGTCCCAGACTCCAGAGGAAAAACGTCTTCAAAAAACATGCAGACAAAGTCCTTTGTGCTGCTGCCCCTAATGCAATTCACCAACAGCCAAAACGGACATGGTTTTCAGTAGAACTTGACTGGAATCAGTGACAGTCTATACTGCAGAAAGCCCATCTCAAAATGCTTTCCCAAGGTTTACAGGTCACAGAAAAGGTGAAATCATATAGAATGGGCCTTGTGCATATCCCAAGTGAATCAGTTCAGTCCTAGCTTGAATGAATCATCTCCTTGCTGTTAGTGACGGAGTCTGGATGGCCCTTGTAGCAACCAAGGGCTTTAATGGAAAATCAGCCTAGCAAAAAGACTTACAGAGAGGTAGGGAGAAACTCTCAGGCAAATCTTGTCCACTCATGTGAAACTAAGCCAGTGTAAGCTCCATGGTGACCCTTGCTCTGGAGGAGTCCACAGGAAAGGTGTAGCATGGCCATTCAGGCAGCCCTCTGGACAAGGCTGGCTGAGTCTGTAGATGAGGATGTCCAGTGTGAATGGACTAAACTGTTTACAGCATGCATGAAAGCTTAAACAGAAAATAACCCTGAGAAACAGAAGATGAGGCCTGACATACTTTAGATTGAGGAACTGTAAAATCAGTTGATTTGATCAAGAGGAGATAGTTAATTCCACACTAATAAAAGCAGCAAAAAAGGCAAAACAAGCTTTTTTTAATACAGAATTCAGGAATGTTAGGTGCCCAGGCAAATATAAAGATGATAACCAGTAATGTTACTTCACAATGCACAGTTGCATCACAGATAGTTGATATCATATGGCAGTAGGATTCTGGTGAAAATTAGTGAATACATGCAGGAAACAGAAGCACCTGATTTTTATCAGCTCCCTGGAGTGAATGTAAGGTTTTCTGTTCCAATGCAGTACTGATGTATTTAGAGATCATATTGACAGGTGATTTAATTCCAGGTGGGGGGGGGGGGGGGGTGCTTGTTTGGGGTTTTTTTGGAGGTAGGCACATCAGGTTTAGACTGACCTATGGTATATGTAGTTTTTCTTTGTATGTAGTTAATATTGGCTTTTTTACATTCTTTATATTTAAACAAGAGCCTCTGCTCCACTTCTTTTCATCTCCACTTTCTACTGTTCATGGTGCTTATTCTTCATGCTTACACCTATTCACCATTTATCTACTCGCCTTGCAGTACTTATTACATCTGCTTTTCATCTCGTCAGTTGTATGAATTAGCATGAAAATCTGCATCATCGGGAACACAACAGTGAGACATAAACATCCTTGGTAGTGGTCCAGGGAATTATTTTGGTAGCATGAGGAGAAGTTCTTGTCTTGTGGGGTGAAATGTGTAAATGTCCAAAGTAGCTGTGGTTGCTATGCCAAATGATGTTCCACTCTGGAGTAACATGTTAAACAGCCAAAGAAGTAGGCAGAACTAGACTTGCAATTGGAACAAAGAGTTACTTAAACTCAGTGCAAATACACAAGCTATAGAGCGGCCCCATATCAGAGACCTGTATTGGGAGAGCACTTCATTTACATTTACCTTCAGCACTAACAACCACTCCTTAAAAGAATCCCTGGCTTATTTTCTTTTTTCATGAAATCCTACAAATATCAAAGGCTTTTGATACCCAGAGTCAATATCATTTAAGTAGAGAAAGGGCTCTGAATCCAGAGACCCCATGTGTCTGCATTAGCTCAGTTTATTGTTCACGGAATGCAGTGGTTTTCTGAGCAGATAGGTTTTCCAGTCATATTATTTGACATCATTACAGTTGAATATGCACCAGAATACCATGTGGTGAGTACGTAATAAATCAGCCCATTATGTCTATAATCATTATGATTATGTGTTGATCCAGATCTCTGTTGTTGACATAAAAGGAGGTAAACAGTATAAATTATTGACTCATCAAATGGTTTCTTTTAATTTGTTGAGAAAGGAAAAGGTTATTTTTTTGTGTGGCCTGTTTCACATGTGGAATCACAGTAATGAATATATAGAATATTTGTTGAATGGGAATAGCAGAATGTGAGATTAATCATACCCAAATGCACTACATAGACACTAAGGGTGAAAACGTAAGTGTCACAACATATTAACCAAAGGTTCCCATCATACCAAAGGAATCACAGAATCATAGACTACTAGAGATTGGAAGGCACTTCTAGAAGTTATCTGGTCCAACCCCACTGCCCAAGTAGGGCCCTCTATAGTAGGTTGCCAGGGACCATATCTACACTGGTTTTGAATACCTCCAAGGATGGAGGCTCCACAGCCTCTCTGGGCAACTGTGCCAGTGTTTGGTCACCCTACCAGCAAAGCTGCCTTCTAGTTGGTCAGTCTCAGCATGTACCAGTCCCTGGGGTTGTTCCTCCCCAGGCACAGAGCTTTGCGCTTCCTCTTGCTGAAGTGCTTCAGGTACCTGTTACCCCATTTCTCCAGCCTGTTGATGTGCCTCTGGATGGCAGCACAACCCTCTGGCGTATCAGCCACTCCTACCAGGTCTATGTCATCAGCAAAGTTGCTGAGGGTGCACTCTGCCCCATCATCCAGATCATGAATGAGGATGTTTAACCCTGTCTTCACCCCTGGGGTATACCACTAGTGACTAGCCTACAACTAGACTTCCTGCAAATGATCACCACCCTGTCGACAGGGCCATTCAGCCACTATTCAGTCCAACTCACTTCTCAACCAGCCCATACTTCATCAGCTTCCCTATGAGGACCTTAAGGAAGTCAGTGTTGAAAGCCTTCCTGAAGTGTAGGTAAAAAATAATCACTGCTGTCTCCTCATCTACCAGTCCAGTCATTTCACCATAGAAGTTTATCAAAGTTGGTCAAGCACATCTTCGCCTTGGTTACTCCTATGACTTTCTGATCCTTCATGTGCCCAGAACAGTTTCCAGGATTAGCTGCTCCATCACCTCCCAAGGACTGAGCTGAGGCTGACTAGCCTGGGCCCTTCTTCTTGCTCTTGTTGACGATACAAATGACTTTTCCTCCAGTCTTCACGTATTTCTCCCAGTTGCCATGATCATTTGAAGACAATTGAGAGTAACCTTACAGTGACACAATTCAGCTACCCTTGCAGTTGTGGGTGCATCCCGCCAGGGCCCATGGACTTCTTTGTCACTTGGGTGAAGAAGTTGATTCTATCCAAGAACCTCCAGGATTGCCTATACCTTATTGTGTTGTCCCTCCTGTGCCAATTGGGGTGGTTGAAGTTCCCCATGAGGACCTTCACAGCACATTTAGAAGCAAAAATTGTTAAAAGATGCATGGTGAGGGCCAAAGATATTTTCACAGTGCTGTGGAAATTCACATCCTTACATGTTTTCAACTGAAATTTTACATAGCTGCCTGAGGTACAGCAGCTAGTGTATGGATTCATAGCAAGTTTGAATCATTGTGAAACAGAAAAACACCCCAAATACTGAGTTCACTCACAGTGGCATACTATTTGTTTCATGCAGTTTTCTTTATACCTGATTTTATTTTATTGTATTGTATTTTATTTTAGTATTTTTATAAAAACCATAATGTTTAAGGGAAACATTCTTAAAGGAAATATGACCAACAGAACCTATTCTTCTAGCCATAAACTGTGTTATCAGCCCCAGTCTAATGATCCAGGAGTGTTATTACTGTGGCTGAATACCACATCCATTTGTGAGATGCCCAGTACACCCCATTAGGTATGAGAGAAGTAAAGGGAGAGGGAGGTGCTGTGTAACATGTGGAACGAACGTTTGCTCTGCTCTGCTGGTTGTACGGGAAGTGCATGATCACAAATCACACACATCACATCACCTCATATATGGTTTTCTTCCTTGATACATTTGTCCCTAATGGTAGTACAGCTGCTCACCGCAGCTCCCATGCCAGAGGACTTGTATCTTTTTTGGCTCAGCTCCCAGTCCCAAACTAATGTGTTCATCCAGTCATTCACTTGTTTTTCACATTAACGGGAAGCAAAGGTGCAAGTGCCTTCACAAAACTATAAACGTTAAAGACTGTATTCACAAGTTCATCATTGTTCTTTTCAGCTCAATCTTCAGCTAGAGTTTTGCCTGAGAAGTTTTGCTTTTATTTACTTTTGAAGCATTCTTAACTCATTTTCCTAAAGAAGACATGAAAGATTCAGCATTTTAAAAAAAAGCAAATTTGATGTCAAAGTAATCAAAACTAAAAATACATTAAGAAATACGGTAGAAGCAGTGCAATAAATAACAGGCCTAACCCACACCAATGTAAATTTATGTATTGCTGCTGAAGTAAATGAACCTATGCTAGGTTAGGCCAACACATCTGCTCAACTCTTCATTTAAAAAACTCATCTGGCTCTATTATTTTTCAGCTCCAGTGAATTTAGCCAGCTGTTGATATAGTTTGATGATGAGATTTTAAAACATTCTACAGGAGTCTTCAAAGACACTGCAGAAGTGTGGTGGTCATTTATGATGGTTAATTGTATTTCAACAGCTCTTAGAAAATCCAGGCTCCTGTTGCCTGAGCTCTGGCCTAATAAATATCAGAAGATAATCTCTCTACGGTTAAACTTCTGGTTTCACCCTGATCAATACTAGCAAGTTAAAAAGGTTTAGTTCTTGAGTATTCATGATATTATTGAGACCTATGCACACAATTTAAAGCATGTTCTGTTGACTTTACTAAGTGCTGAGCATGGCACTTAAAGCTAAAAGACCATCTATGTGCTGACCCCAGTATGAATGCTTTTCTTCATTAATACCTACAAAAAGTCATCATAGAACAAATATATATGGCTGGAGACTGAAGCAAACAAAAGGATGGGGAAAAACAGTAGTCAATTTGCCACACCTCACAGGTGATTAAGCAAATGAGTTAAAAATCAGGTAAATAAAACAGAATATCTAAATATCTGTTTTGCATTGGTATAGTGACACATTGATATATTGAGATGTGATGGCTTCTTTATCAGGAAAGCAGCTAGTGGAGTTCAAAGCTCATAACAGCGTTTAGAAAATTGTTAAGAGATCTTTAATATCAATATTGCATGATCTACAAAATGAAACCATTCTATGATAGGATATGGTCCAGGGAAAAGGATGTAGGAGGAGAAAAAACAGGTACATGAGTTCATCAATAAAGTGGCCATGCCCTGAATGTACGTGTGCACTTCATCACCTTAAAAAAGTTCTGCAGTTACCTGAGTTTCTTTGACATCTCCTCTTAGATTTCCTAGGGCATCATTGCATTTTGAAACAAAAGCATCCATGCCCCACTGGGCATGGGGAAGAGATTATTAGTTGAAAATATTTATTTCAGTCATATTACTGTCTTCATTCCTCTTGGATTTCCTTGTCCATGAGATGGTAAGAAATAGACCCAGTGCTCAGCTATGACTGCTCAGAGCAGCATGGGCATTCCCAGGAATGCTGTACAGACAGAAAAAAATATTTACCTGAACTTGGCAGGAAATCATTCAGGCACCAGTTTTGAAGTGCATGGGCATGGAAGGGCTTGGAGTAAACAAAGCTCCTAACCCATCTCTTTTTTGCCCGAGAACTACAGTTGCTCTTTTCCTGCAGATGCTGGGACTGAGTACTCCACATGCTCTGAAGGTGCTTCACAACCCTAAAATAGGAAAGGCACAATAGCCCATGGAAAATTCTCCCACCTTTTCCAGCTGAATACAAAGGACTCTTATTGCTGTGACTTTTGAGGGTAAATGGTCAACTGCCTCTCTTAAATGCCTTTGAAAATCCTACCATGTTTCCACTTCAGTTAATCTCAAAGTTGATTTCCAAAGAAGAGGAAAGTATTTGCTATAAATACTAAACCAACTGAAATGCCTCACTTTGCAAATGGTTTCAGAGCCAAATAAGGGCTGCCTGGAAACAAGCCTGATTCTCACCTTTCTGTGTCAGGTTATTTCTTCCTGGGCAAGAAAGGGTGCTGTCAAAGGGAATAGCTTTAATATTTTTCAGTGATTTGGACATGGGGAGAAAGGGGCAGAAAGAAAAAGATGGCAGTGGGATGTTAAAGCTACATTAAAGGGCACAAGAAGCTTGGCCAGCTTTCAGAATTAACTGCTTAACTGAATGCCAAGACTGTGATTTTAGTATCTCAGGCTAAGGAGGGTATTGTTAACAGAAACGGTCTCCTTTAAGAATCTAGATGAGGAATCTTATGTGTAGGAAAGTTTAGGAAAACTACACTAATTGTAACTGTCCCTTGCTGAGCAGCCCCTGGGATCCCATGAAGTCTTTGCAGCAGTGGTCTGTAAGTGCCTACAGCCACCTCTTCATGAAAGTACAATCACTGACAAAAGGAAATTGCATCATCCAGCCTTTCTTCTTCTTTGTCAAGAAAAGGGGAAGTCTCACAGTAGTAATGTTAATGGCAGCAGGATTAATTCAAGGAAGTTTAGTAATGTTTCTTTAAAAATGGGTCATTTAGCAGAGAAACTATAAGGAGCTGAACACTGACTGCCAACCTGACCTTGTATTCCTGACTCAGACATGAGCAGGGTGAGGACCAGCCTCTATAGAACACCAAAAAAGCAGCAAGATTGTGAAGAGAACAACGAAGTAAAGAGCTACCAGGAACTGTAAATTTCCCTTTCCTGACAATGTTTGCTGCTCTCTCCACTCTCCCCCCATCCCCTTCCCCCCCTCCAATGAGGTTCCTTCGTGCTTAGGATGTCCAGGCTCTTAAGAGTTGATTTGGTTTTGGCAAGTGTGAAAAAGTGGTTATTGTTGGTGAATATTGAAAATACCTCTAAAATTTTCCATGGTTAAACGACTGTCAGAAAGTCACATTCAGGAATGGCTATTACATAAATACATGCTGATCTTCGTGGCCACTGTTGGGGAAGAAATTCCATATGCCAGGGTAGGAAATACAAGACCTTTTCATGATTACTTAACCCACGAGTCAAAGAGATTTAGGATCAATAACTGAGCCTGAGGGTGTTCTGCAGAGCAATGAATGAAATATGGGTCCATTCATATTAATTAAGGGAATATGATTCATTGATATTCATGACGATTAGAGGTAAAAAATATTTTCTCAGGTCCTCTTAGGTCTTCTTAGGTCAATTGTTCTTTTTTTTTCCCCCCCCTTTATCTTTTCCATATTGCAACACTTCTCCTCACAGCCTGCCCTATAGTTTTGGAAATCCTGCTCTTATTTATGCCTATTTATCCCCTAAAGGAAGGTAGAAGAGTTAAAATCTTCCCAGTTAAAACCCTGTACTTGACTTGAATCTCAGGGCACTGCAGAACCATTTCCTGTGATTGCAAAAGAGAGAGATAAAATTCCACACTGGTGGGAATTAACAGAAATTAGATCAAAGATTTCCAGACAATTAAGAGTCCTAACCCAAAATGTCCTTTGCTGCTAATATTTTTGATTCGATCTTTTTTTTTTTTTTTTCTTTTGCCGGCAAACAAAGCAGTGCTTCATACAGGAAGCCAAATTTGCCTGTCAAAAACAATCCAAATTCAAAGCGTAACAAGAGCTGATCCGCATTTGCATGCACTGCAATTCCCCATGCAGATTTGTACAACCCCGCAAGCAGAGGACTCAGTAGGTGCCTAGCTGGCGATCTGTAGGCGCGCTTCCCCAGCTGACACATGCAGGACTAGCAAGGTGGACGGAATTAGGGGGTTTGGGATGTGCTCTTCTGCCGTGAAGCGGTTTAGCATGTAGTTTTGGTTTGGGAGCTGGACAGAACCGGCGGGCAGAGGAGGCGATGCAGAGCAAGCCCCGGCGCAACGTCGGGGCTCTGGCGCGACTGCTGAGCTCTCTCGGGGGGCTGTCGCGGGGGCCGAGAGCTCCCGTCCTCCATCAGGAGCATGAGGCTGAGCAGAAGCCTCCATCTCCCGGGCTATAAGAGCCAGGCGAGGCCTGAGGTGGGGCTACCGTCAGCTGGAAGTGCCTCCCTGGAAGCAGGTACGTGCCCGCGCCCTCCGCATTTGGGAGGACTTGCGGCGGGGTGACAGCGACAGGGCACGGCTCGGAGTCTGTCCCTGCGGCCGCGGGGTGGAGCCCAGCTCGGCTCAGCGCTGCAGCCCGGGCACTCCCCGCGTCCCCTGCCAGCCACCGCCGCCGCAGCTGCGAGCGCCAGTGAGGCGCCAGCATCCGCTCGGTGCGGCTCTCCGGGCGGCGGCGGGGGCTGCCCGGGGCCGCTCTGACCGAGCCTCCTGCTCCTTCTTAGTAGTCGGCACAAATCGCCTCCCTCCTGCCCCCCGCGGCGAGGAGGGCCACCCCCGCGGAGCCCTCCCTCTTCCCTCCCTTCGCCCGCCCTCCTCCCGTAGCTGCACACCCCGAGGAAGGGCTTGTTTTCCTGCCCGGATGATGAATTTCTCCGCAAGGTCATCTCTGCCCGCGGCGGCGGCGTGCCCGCGGCTCCCCGGGCGCTGCCGCGGAGGTAAGGCGCGAGGGGGAGGCGGTTGGGTCGTGAGAACCTCCCGGCACATACACACTCGCACAGCAAGTTTATTTGGCGCCGGGGAGGAGCGCGGTGGGTGCGCGGACAGGTGCCCGGGGCACGGTGGGGCAGGGGGCGGCCTCGCCTTACCGGGTGTGCTGGACCGAGCCCGGCGCGCTCCTCGAGGAGCCGGCCCCGCTCCGCAGCGGTGTGGGTTGCGGCCGCCCCGCCGAGCGGGCACCCGGGGCTGGAGGCGACCGGGCCGGGTCAGCCCAGAGGAGGCCTCTCTAATCCTCTTTACCGGCGCTTGGAAGCGGGTTTGCCTCCCAAATGTCCGAGAGCGCGGAAAACTTAAGGTAGTGATTGTAACAGTAATTGTAATAAGGTGCTCCCACCGGGTCGGGGGGCTGCGGCCGGACAGGCTGGGGGATGCGCGGCGTGGTCGCCACGGCAACGTGTCGGTGGCCGCGGTGTCGCAGCGCGGAAGGTGCCCCTGAGGGCCCCCCGCCGCGGGGCTCTCGGAGAAGGGGTCTCCCCTGGGGCCCGCCCCGCCACCTCTCTGGGAGAAGCCGGGCGGGGACAGAGGTGCGGGGGCACCCATGTGCCCCCTGACCGGGGTGCGGAAACATGGGGCTCTCGGGGGTGCTGCGCTGAGAGTCGGACCGTGGCCCGCTAGGGGTGCGAGCCGGGATATTGCAGTCGAGTAACTACGTGCCGGGTGATGCTCGCCCGTGTCAGACCCGCACTGCCGGTTGGCTAGACGAGAGGCGCGGAGCAACCTGGCTTGGGGCGATAGGGCCGGTCACAAAACCCCGGTGGGCCTTGTCCTTTTCCTGCTGAAGCTGGTGACAAAACTACGGATGCTATTGCCAGCTCCCACTCTGCAACTCGTGTTATCCGCACTGAACCTGCCTTTCGTGCCCCACAGAGGCCTAGGCTCCATTAACTCTTATTTCCTTCACCCTTCTTTTTCTCTTGGGAGAAGATAACAATGCTGCTGGTGGATTTGTTAGAGTCATAAGGAATTATTATAATCCCGTAGTCTAAACTCTTCCATAGTATAAAGCCTAGACTATTCTCCAGTGAGTCGAGGGTATGGCCCACCAGCCTCTTCAAACAGTTTTGGTTTAATGAGTCCCAACGATGGGGAATTTACTGCATTCCTGGATAATTGGCTCTGATTGTTAATCTCGTTGTTAAATGTTGGCATCTTTTTTCCTTTTTGAACTTTTCTGACTTCATCTTCTAGCTACTGGATCTTGTAATATCTTTGTCAGATTAAATAGCTGTCTAGTTTCAGATCGTCTTTCTCTGCTCAAGTATTTAAAGGCAGTAATTAAATAGCCACTTAACTTTGAGATAAATAGGGTTCCTTTGGTCTCTCCCTGGAATGCCAATGCATTCCCCAGGAGAAACCCAGAGCTCTGCTGCTCTTTTCCAAGCCCCCACTGTTTTCCTCACTGGCCACCGACGCTGCACAGTGGATTCCAGGAAGGCTCTTGCTAATGTCACGTGCAGAGATAATAACCTCGTGTTCAGTATTCCCCTGTCTATTCACCCAGTGGTACAAACTTTTCTTTCCCACGGCTACACGGTGGGAACTGATGTTCTTTCTGTTAGTTGCATGCAGTGATCCCTCTGTTTCTTTGCAGGCTGGGGTTTTCTCACATGCTGGCTGCCTGTCCTGAAAGGGGCATTTAAATTAAATGCTTACTGTTATAATTATAATGCTATATTATAAGTAAATGCTATATGCTTAACTTTGGATGTGCCTATCTTAAGTGGATTTTTCCCTCATTCTCCTATCACTTCACTTCCAGAGAATCTGCAGCTCAGGAATTACAATAGAACTCTGGTGTTTCTCTCTCTAGAAGTCAGCTGAGTTTTTTCCTGGGACCACTGTGCTAAAAACATCTTCCTCCTTCTTGCTAGTATTCTCTCCAGATGACCTTAAAGTTATTTGTAGTTTACTCAGGAGTAAGTTATACTGAGTAATGTAGAAACTGCAAACTGAAAGTGCCCATTAGAGTGAATTGGTTTTGTAACTGCTTTCATTCTGCTGTGCCTCCAAGTGGTGGTGAGAGAGAGATTTGCTTTCCTGTTTTACAGAACTGCAAATCCAACTGATGAGTATGATGTCTAGGCTGATACATATATTGTCATTATGCTGAGATTCTTTAACTTGAATTTTGTGAGCTTTGCTTACTCTGGAGTGTGCTTAAGCCTGGATTTATAGCTCTTTAGAAAGCACAGTGTTCAAGAGTAAGGGCCAGAGGTGAGTGGGTTTGGCAGGATATTATCAAGTTTTCCAGTAGCATGTAGCAGCTCAAAGGGGACTGAAAAGATGAGATTTCAGTAGTTCGAAGGCACCTGCTGTGGCAGAGGGTACAAAATAATACAGGTCTTGGAAGTGGGTACTTTTTTTGTTAGGGTTGTTGAGATTTGGTTGTTTTGGGATATTTTTTTTGGGGGGTGGGAGGTTGTAACCACTGTGACTTATCCTGTCTATGACTGTAATGCACGTTGAGGGAGAGTGATGTAAGAGGTCCAAAAATCAAAGACCTCCCTTGTAGATGCAGACCATCCCATGAAGTAAGTGGAGTGATGAGCCTTGTGTATAAGGTTTATCTGCATGAATGAAGACAGCAGGTTCCAGCCTTGAGAATGACCTAATTGTCTTTGAACTGTTAAAATTAAGGAGTACATTCTGATTGTGTAATAACTTAAGTGTCAGGACAGTGAGCTTTTCTGAAATTTCACAAGGATTTTTCTGTTTTCTTTTCAAGGCTCTGAAAATGTGTATGGAAAAGATTGCAGTAAGTATAGAAGTAATGGGTTAAGTATAAACAGTGGTGAAAAAGCAGTGGTGCTTTAAAAGGTACTAAAATCATTACTGAGCTCAAATATCTGATCTGATTGAACAGAGTAACCCTGTGAGCTCTAGAATTATGGTGAATTTTCTATAGGCTGGTGTCAGCATCTTGGGAATTGTTTCTTATTTATATAATTGTATATGCTCCCCCCAACATGAAATTTTATTACCTGGAAGGTGTCTTTCCTACTTCCATTCAAACTGAGCTTTTCCTCCCCAAAATGGGCTCATCTCTCTGGATTTTTTTTTTTCCCGCAACATGCGCTTTCCTTTCTCAAGGTTGCGTATTCAATTCCTTTTGCGATCAGAAGAGCGTGCATATGTTTCCATAGGGTGACT